GAAATTCTGTGTATTACAAAGATGTATCCAGGGAAAAATAAACTGGTTTAATTAAGAAAGAGCTTGTATCGCTGAAGTTCCTCGAAAAGAAATTATACAGGAAATTAACAAACGAACAGATGCGTAACAATATAATATATATATATATAGTTTTAAAACATTTGTACGATTTTAGAGGTATTTGATTGTCAGTTATGATGGTTTTAATAATACTTATAAAGCAAGTACCTTTAAGTTTATTTATTTTTCTTTATTTGAAGATTTTTCTATATAATAAACAAAAGAAAAGGCTTAATAACTTTTAGTCAATAACTCAATATAACAGGTTCACCAAAAAATTACTTTTCACCAACTTAGTCCAGTTCACGTCGTAAAAATTAACCCCAAGCAATTTGCTAATATAAAAGCACCTTCATCACTATTATATCCATCGTATCCCAGTCCGTCTGAAGAGCTCTGGTATTGTACGAAAAGCCTCGACGGCACTGAATACACTATACATTCTTCTTTACATTCACTCTGAAGTTCGTATTAATAAGTAAATTTTAAAAAAATGTGTTGATTAACTGAGCCACTGATATTTAAACATACAATTTCAGACTGTTTTTAACACAATCTAAAAATAACAACAAAAATATACATACTTAATATAAATTCCACACATCTTTATTAAAATTAGTATTGATATTTTCAATCTGAACGGCACGTTATACGCATTTAGGCTAAACAGTCAAGTCCCTGGTTTCAGGTATAGCTGTCCCAAATTTTGAACTGTTGATCACAGAGAGAACAAGCAGACAGAAGCACCCACCGCCACAAGGGCGTTGTCTGACTACTGGGACCAAATGACTTGTACACTTGCCCCCAGTAGCATAGCGGTATGTCTGCGGACTTATACTGCTATAAACCGGGCTTCGATACCCGTGGTGGGAAGAGTACAGATAGCCCTTTGTGTAGCTTTGTGCTTAATAACAAACAACAACAACATCTTTATTGTAATGTTTATATATTGAACTCAGTTTTGTTAAGTAGATATGTTGTGATTTTATATATGTAAACAACCTGTACTGTAGTTACTAAAATACTCTGGGTCTCCAGGTAGTACACTGAGACTTTTAATACTGAATACGGGGTTTGATACTCCGTGATGAACACAGAGCAGATAGCCCATTGTGTAGCTTTTGGCTTAGCTATATAACAAACAAACTAAACTACCCTTCGCAATTCCTGGTGATTCTCTTAGATCTGTGCAAAAGAATATATATATTTATAGTGTTTCTGATCGATAACAGCGCCTTCAGATTAAGTTTGAAAATTCCAAGTGACCTTATTCTTGGCTTTTAGTGAAGTTGATTGGAAGAAAAAAAAATTCTAACTATTGTTCTTCACATATGTATTCATTATATTGTTGTTTGTTATTAAGCACAAAGCTATACAAAGGGCTATCTGTGCTCTGCACACCACAGGTATCGAAACCCGGTTTCTAGCAGTATAAGTCCTCAGACATACCACTGTGTTACTGGGCGGCGTATTCATTAGGGTAACCAAACGTGTGTTAATACCAGTGTCTAATGATAATCTCTAAAGGCGTGGAAGTACTAAATATTCAAAGTACAGTTGAATATTATTATTATTATTATTAAGAATAGGTAATAGAATAATTGCAATGTAGACCTCTGTGGTAATT